TCATCATGCTCTATTCGTACTCCTACTCCTCATCCCAGTCTCCTTACCATGTGTTTTTCACCTATCCCCCAAAAGACTCTCTCTCTCTCTCTCTCTCTGCCTGTCGCTGTTTTTTATTGTTTCCCCCACACCCAAATGCAAAGATGATGAAGATTGAAGAATGCTCAAGAAACTGGGTCTTTCGCTTACGTATTCTGGGGAATTTTTTGTTTAATTTCTTTTTTTTTTTAGAGCCGTGAGTCACCCTTAAAAACAAGTGAGACATTTTTTTGTAATGAAAAGAAAACCGATTAAAAGCTGTAATTTTTCCTTAATTTTGTAGATTTTAAAACCCTTTGGATACTCTTTTCTTTTCAGTGATTCAGCAACAAATCAGAGAAGAGAGAGGGGGGGGGGGGGGCTGGAAATGCGCAAATTTGTGTGAGAACTCATTCACGTAATTACGCACAAAGAAACGGGAAAATCTCATTCGAATAAACCGCAACAAATGCAACAATCTCGACGGTAACACGTGTGGGCGATGACGAGAAACAGAAATACGAAAAAAAGACCAAAGCGGAAAATAAAGGAAAGGAAAGGCAAAGCCAAAAATAGCTCTCCCGAGTACAAGTACAAGTGTGTGTGAAAAAGCCGATAAAACAAATAAGAACAAGCGCGAAATATAATTGGAAGAGGAATATCCATTCTAAACAGTATATCACACAGAAGGCAGAGAGAGGGGAAGGGCAGGGCAGACAAAGACCAAAAGCTAATAGAGAGCCGCCTTATTTGCCGCAAGCCAATAGAGGGAATAAACAACAATACTAATTGGGGAGGGGGTATGGATTGTGTTTGCGTGTGTTTGCACGCCCCGAAATGAGCAAAGCAAAGAAAAGAAACTGAAACAGACATCAAAATCGAAGCAAATTCACACGCCTCCAACAAAAAAAAAAAGAAAAAGAACAACAAAGAAACACAAAAAGAATTGATATTGTGACTAAGGTGTATCCCATTGCTTGGAATTACTTAATGTTTTCTAAGAAGAAAAATACGAATTTTGTAACTTTTTTTCGATCCTAAACCGGGTGCATCTCCCTTGCTCCCTCTCTCTTGTGTGTGTGTGTGTGTGTGCGTGTTTACGCCAAATTCCTGTAGTTCTGTTACTTTTCATTTTTATTTTTTTTCCTCTTTCCTTCTGTTCGTTTTCGATGTGTAATTTGTTTCTGGTTTTAATTAGTGCAGAATTTTTCTTGAAGAATTTATGGCTGGGCCTCGCCCCATCTCTCCTTTTGGCACTCTCCGCCCCCCCCTGGGGTTATCGCCTTGGGAGCAGCAGAAAATGTTTATTTATCTAAACGCAAAATGAATTATTTCTTCGATTTACCGAGTTTTGTTATTGTTATCGTATTGAATACACACATCGTCGCGGATTCTGGCCATGAGGAAGTCGGTAAAGTGGTACTGCATGTGTGTGTGTGTGTATTTCTTGTAAATACGCCGGCGGTCGATGAGCAACAATATTAATTTCATCATTAGACATTTCTTGGCCATTGCAATTACCGTTAATGCGTCTCGATATGTTATTAATACATCAGGGTATAATGGATGTTTAGAGAAACATTAGAAGTTCAAAAACAAAACGAAATGAGGTACCTGTTTAGAGCTGGAAAAGCGGTTCTTAGAAGAGTCTATACCGTTTCTTATATGCTTTGTTTGCAATTACGGAAACACATATATGATTCATTCATCTTCTTTGTTTCTTTGTTAATTACATGATTAAGTGCAAATTAATCATAGATTATTCCTTAAAACCGTTCTAAAATTAAATTTGGAACCCTTCTCCAATGATCTCAGAGTAAAACCCATAAACAAAAGTTGAACAGCCTTTTGGGAAAAAAAAAATAAAATGCAAATTATTTTTAAGAAGAAACAATAAATTTGCTGTCCAACAAAAATGAACTTTTAATGCGAACGAATCTTCATCTGCTTTTATGATCCCCCAGAAGACAAATAAAACATAATTAAGAAACAAGAGGGGGGGAGCAGGGAAATAGAAGAAGATCACAATGTGAAAAAGAGCAGACGGAAACGCAAACGCACAGAAGCGCAAAACCGAAGGAAAATCTAAAAGTAAACGATGTGCACAACAACTACCTGCAGCGGCAGAGGGCGAGAGAGAGAGAGAGAGAGAGACACTGATGATGATCCAAACCGGTATAACAAACAAACGCAAAGAAACCGAAAAAAAAACAGCGACGGCGAAGAAGAAGAAAACAACATCAGCAGCCAGCGACTATAAGAAAACGAGAAGGGTGACGACACCAGAGGATCGAATCATTTGATACCCTTATAGCAGGTGGTCACATTTTTGTTTCGACTTGGGAATCTCTATATGAAACAGTTAGCTTTCGTGAATATGTACCCTCCATAGTGCTAGTGCCGCACATCATACCCTTCTCTAAAACGGCATGCCAAAACGCAGCGAAAGACATAATGACTGACAGACAGGGCAGACGGCAGATGAGAGCGATAGGAGGGAGTAAAGAAAAGAAAGAGCGACAGAGCGAGCGAGAAAAAGGATGGCATGCAACAAGCGGTAGTAACAACAACACAAGAGACAGCTCAGCTCTCATTCAAGTATTTTTATCATTAGCTCAACAATTTGAGGTATCTGCAAAAATATTCGAGTGCAAACATTTTCAACCACAAAAAAATGTAATGTTTTTTGTGTTTGTTGTTGTTTTAAACAAATTACTCATCCTCTTACCTTGTAACTGTAGAGAGAGCGCGCGGAGGGCGGCATTCAATTCAACATAAAATCACAAACACATGCTTGCCAGCTCACTCACACACAAACACCCGCGAACGAACACGCACAGAAACACAGAGAGAGAGAGAGTGAACGGGACTACACTTGCGGCCACACAAATATAAACACACGTTTGTTAAACTTTGATTTTCCTCTAGTTTCAGCTGGACATGGTATATATATTCATTTATATACTTTACTACTCCATAAACATTTATTCTTTCTTGTGTGAGAGAGATAGAGGAATTGCTGGCCTTTGGCTGTTATGCAGGAGGAAAATATCTCCACAAGATAACGGCGCCTATTAATTTCGCGGGCAGACACAGTATGAAATAGGCTGTGGTTCCTCAATTGCACTTTGGCCACTGTCGGCACGGCTATTTGTTTAGGCGGCGCGGAGTAATAGATTACGTTTAGCTAGAGCATGTAAATGCGACAAAGACGGCGGTAAACACGGTTCCGAAACACGCAAAAAACACGAAATTCCCGCTAAGCGCAAGAAATGACTGGCGTCCGCTCGCGTTGGGGTGTTTTAAATTACTGTTGTTGGGGGCGGCGCGGCTGTTCCTCAACAACAATATAGCGTCCCGTAAATCGATAAGAAATCGAATTTAGCCCACTAAAGCCCCCTATTTTGAAACAGATCAACGACTGGAGGTAAATGGCGGAAAATATTACGGATTGTAAATCCATCCTCTAAATTTACAAAAAAACACAATATTTTTCACCTGAACGACGCTAAGATTATTACATTTTCATTATTTTTGGTGGAAAATTGAAATACCCCCTTGGCGTTTAATAGGTTAATCGTTCTCCATCAGGGATTGGAACCCATATTGGCCAATTTTGATATTCCGTAAAATATTATTAGCTAGATCGAACATCTAGCCATGCCCACATAATTTTATACGATTGATGAATCAATTTTCTACTTAACTGGCTTATTTTGAATAATTGCTTTTAATGGATCTTGTCTAAAAGAGGGTTTTAATAAAAAAAATCAAAACAAAAAAAACGGTTTTAGCGAAAATGGGAAAACAAAAAAAAATCGAAAGAGGACAGTCGTTCATATTACTCAATTTTGATATTCCGTTGAATATTACTCGCTACATAGAACATAAAGCCATACCCATATAGTTTAAAGCAAATAATGAATCTATTTTCTAATTGAATGGCTTGGTAAAAATACTTGATTTTATCGCATTTTGACCAAAACAAGGTTTAAACAAAATAATTCCACAAAAAATGCCGCAATGATGCTGGTACATGTTGTGTGTAACCCGTAGTATAGACCTTTTTATACCATATTTTTTGTATTTTGACCATAACAAGGTTTAAACAAAATAATTCCACAAAAAATGCCGCAATGATGCTGGTACGTGTTGTGTGTAAGCCATAGCATAGCCTTTATATACCCTATTTCGTTAATTTAATATGAACATAAAACGAAATGAATAAAGAACCTTGCTCAGATTGATATGTTTTAAACATATTCATTTATATGATTTTTATCTTGTATGTGTATGTACATATATCTCCTTATAGCTATTCTTGGTCTCTGTACGAAGACGATGAGCTGCAAAATATCGTTGAAATAGATTTAAAACAGAGCATTATTTTTGAGTTTGGGATGACAAACATATTCTCAATCTGTAATACCCATTTCTCCAGGGTATGAAAATTAGTGTTGCCCGCAACATTGTCCATGGAATTGTTGACTACCGGTTAAAAGAGAGCCTTACCCGTTTCAAGTTCGATTATCGATACTATCGACTGGATACGAGTGGTGCGCGCCAAAAAGAAATTTTTTGAAAGTGAATGGGTGACAAGTGACTATGCACATTTAATAGACTGATGATATAATGTAGACCCAGATACTTTCATCTCAACATATAACAAAAAGTATTTGGGCGGGCGCGTCTGTTTGCTGCTGCCCGTGATTCTGGTAACATTTCCAACATACAACATGCCTAACTATCAACATATCGTTGATCAAACACGTGAGGTGAGGTTCATATGATCTTGTTATGATGCAGGACCGTAATTTTGCCTGTTGTCCATACCTTTCCATGATAAAACGGCTCAAGTTCGTTGTTGTAGCTAGAGAACATGTTGCCGGCAAGGTAGAAAAAGGAAAGTATGTTTAAAAAAATTAGGAGCCCCTGTTAAATGTCTGCAATCAGCTGATAAATAGATAAATAAATAGATGATAATGGAATTAACGCTGGAAAAGAAGCTGCAGGGATTCCAACTGGTGGCCCAGGAAAAGGTAATGCTTCCAACACTCGAATATGTGATTTCTGATTCGTGTATTGGCAGCTCCAAGCCATACTGTGCTCCATACCCGGCAAAAAGGAGCTGATTCTGGAGCCCGCTCTCATCAAACCGCTGGAACACGTCTGCACTGCCTCCTGGTTAAAGTGGGTGGAATTTGCTTCCTTAAATGTGATTTAACGCATATGATTATGTGTCCTTGCAGACTTAAAGGTATACAGAGGATATACAAGCACGATGCCAAACAGAGTTTGCCACGCGCCGCGGATGAGGTGCACATCTACATGATACGCAGTCTGTTGGGCACATATCAGACCCTCCTGCGGCAGCTGCAGCCCCTGGCCATGGTGGAGACGCCCGACGTATTCCTAAAGATGTACCACATCATCTGTGTGCCCAGCTGCTACACGTACTACCAGACTCTGCTCGAGCAGGCGGGTCTGTGGGGCCTGGTGCAGCTCCATCACTACAATTGGGATTTCATTTACTTCGATCAGGGTGTCCTCAGCATGGAGTTGCCAAATGTAAGGGTTGCACCTCAAGGGCTCCACAAAACCTGTCTAATCTGTATGTATTCCCCTAGTTGTACGAGTGCCTGTACCTCCAGGGTGATAGTTCGCCCCTGCCGGCCGTGGCTCAGAGCCTGCGGCTCCTTCAAATGATCTGTGGCCCACCGGCGGTGATACTCAGCTTTGGCTCACACTCAGCGCAGCTCCTGCAAATGCTGCAGGCCCTGGGCAAGCTGCCGGAGTCCAGCAATCCCCCCGATTATGGCGGCTGGCTGATCATCGATCGGGACAAGGACTATCCCTCGAGCCTGCTCACCCCCGCCATCTATGCGGGTCTGCTGCTGGAGGTGTTCCAGCAGCGAGCGGGCGAAATTGTGGTAGACAATTCCAAGAACAAGATCAGCAGCCAACGCGTGGAGCTGCTGCAGAGCAAGCAGTCCTCAAAGGGGGCCAGCAGCAAACCCATCTCTGTGCGCCTGAACTCCGCCTCCGACGAGATCTATGGCGACAATCGCTACAAGCACTTTGCTCAGGCCAGCAGCTGGATACGGGCCCAGGTCAAGGCCTTGGGCTTGGAGCTGCAGAAATTGAACGACATGCAGCTGGAGGAGATGCACGATTACGTGGCACGTAAGCTGCCCAAGCTCACGGAACTCAAAGCCAAAGTCTTGCGGCATTTGAATGCCAGCGAAATCGTTATCCAAATGTTGGGAAACTTTCGCAGACTTCAAGCCCTAGAGGAGGATATCCTCAATAATGTGTCCAGGAAGCGCCTGCTGGGGGATATTGATGAACTGTTGACGACCGATGGCCAGCGCTACAATACCCTGCGACTGCTGTGCCTTCTCCATCACTGCGCGGGCGTGGCCCCCGAGGAGCTGCAGACCTTTGCCAGGAACTACTGCAACATGTTCGGCCATCGCGAGTTGGGGGTGTTCCAGCAGCTCGCCCAAGCGGGTCTGCTGCCCCAGCTGTTGCCCGAAAAGAAGGCGCCCACCAAGCTGCTGGCCAATCTCCCATTGCCCAAGTTCCAGCAAACCGAGTTCCAGGCAAATGCCAATCGCTTGAAGCTGCTCACCTCCTGCGGCGATGGTCCGGATGGTGCCGCCTCATCGAAGGAGGTGCAGTCCTGCCCCAGTTTCGTGTTCAATGGCACCTACATCCCCCTGGTGGCACAGCTGTGCTCCATTCTGCTGCGCGCCAACACCGCTGAAGAGTTGTCCACAAAGCTGGCCATGATCGAGGGCATGCAACTCCATTTGGACAGCAACAGACAGACGACGCCCAAGGCCTATGCTGCACAGCAAAAGACACAGCCACCAGGTCCTGCTGCTGCTGCCTCTAGTGGGGCGGATGCCGATGTGTTTCCCCTGCGACTACGTAATCTCTTTGTTTTTGTGGTCGGCGGGGCCAACTATGCGGAGATAGCCGCTTGTGATTTCATCTCCAAACTGACGGGTGCCCACATCACAGTGGCCTCCGACTCTCTAATGGCGGGAAGCGATCTAATCGCCGCTGCCTTCAGCAACTGAAGAATTTCTCACAGATATCTTTATTTTATATACAATTTATATTTTTTAATAAAAGATTCAGACACCACCCTTCATGCCTGGGACGCGATAGAGCAGCTCTCCGTCATCATGGTAGTAGGCATCCTCCACGCGGTACGTGGCTCCCGCACGATGCAGTTTTCTTGGTATCACAATGCGATCCTTGACTTTTGTCATCTCGTAGCGTTGCTGATCCGCTGCACTGATGACGATCTCGCTGCTCTCGAACTTTTGCACGTAGCTGGAGAGGAAACCCGTGCCACTGGGATTGCTGGGCGGCGGTTGGGGCGGCGCCTCCTCTGCCACGGCGGGAACAAGCTGCAGCTCCTTGAGCTCCTGTAGACGCATCTTTCGCTTATTGCGGACTTTGTCCAGCAAATAGGTTTCATCTTCTGCTGCTGCGGGTGGAGCAGCATAGCCTGAAGGTAGCTGGGGAGGGTTACGGTCCTCTTTGCTCTTAGTTCCACTTCCCAGAAGCTGCCGGAACTCGTTTCCCTGCGGCACTGGGAGTGCTGGCCGTGTGGGCCATTCCTCCGGCTTCAGTTGCTTCAAGTCCTGCTGTCGTCGCTCCGAGAACTTCTCCAAGTGCTGCAGAAAAGCCGAGGGTATGGCCACCTCACATTTTCCTTGCCGCAGCTGCTGCCAGTTCTTCATGACGCTCTCGTCATGGGCACGAATCCTGGTCACATTCCTCGGTCGCCACTTGGCGCGCAACACCTTCTGGACGATCTCCGGGGTGGCCGGAAAGCTCTCGGCCAGACGTTCGATGGTCCATTCATCCGGTCGCCGTTCGTGCAGCAGACGCATCTGCTCCTTTTCCGCATGGAGCAGCAAATTGGGCAGCTTTACATCGCGAAAATACTTGTGTTTGATCATAAGCTGACGCACACGATCGCGATGCGCCTGCTGTTGCGCCTCATGCTGTCGATGTGTCTTCTGTACGTCCATGAAATCCGACTCCAGATCGGCATAATCCTCGCTAGCTTCGGTCCTCGCTGTGGGTCGTTCGTGTTCCTGCAGCTGTTGCAGCTGATAGCCAAGGCCGGGATTGGCACGACGGGGTACGCGAGCCCTCAGGCAGCTCTGTGCTGTGTGCAGACAGCGTTGAACCATCCGGGAAGCCATTTTATTTTATTTTATTTTTTTGGGATTTAAGTTACCAAACTACCCGTGAGTAGCGTGGGATTATTTGGCCGCCCGCCTTTTGAAGGTGGAAATTGCCAAGTCAAAGAAGATGTTGGAGTGCTGTTTATAGCTTTACATCAGTTTTGTCGATGAAGTCAATTAGTGTTTGGTACGCGCTGGTGTTTTCTTTTTCAAAGAATTTGTAAATATCATTATATTTTCTTAGAGATGGGAAGTTTTGCCTTGTTGTGTTGTACCACTAACCATACAGCATATAGATGTGCCAGTTCATACAACGAAAGTGTCACACACCGGCTTGCGCTATCCGTACCCCAGAGTGACGTCATCATGAGAGAGAGAGCGCAGAGAGAACATCTTTGCATGTGTTAGTACACACGCAATATGTTTCGACAAAAAGTATGTGATTGTATGTTTTTTCAGATTTTTTGAACTCTCTCAGGTCTGATCTGTTTTGCCACCAGCATGTTTTAGTGTATGGGTGCACATGCATTCTCACGTACTTTGCGTGTGTGTGTTTACTATTGCTGGCCGCTAGAACTGAAATTTGAGTTTGGTTCTTGTTTCGGGTCTTTTGATGGACTGACCTACCGCCACAAAATAAATGAAGAATGGGCAGGGGGTGGGGGTATGGTGCACTAGGGCGCGGGAAACAAAATAAAAGCTGTTATTTGTTTGATTTATACCACAAAATATAAAATATTACAATAATATAATTGCACATTTATTTCCTTATCTTAAGCAGGTTGATTATAAATTATACAAATTATGCAAACGCCGTCGGTTCTCGACGTTTTTGTTTATTATAACTAAAATAATGATGTATCTAAATATACAATATAAGAAAATATATATATGTATATACTTAAATAAATATGCATAAATATAAATGGAATTGGTTTTACATATATTTCAAATCAATTGTCAATCGCGCGCTTTCCGACGGGAATCTGCAAAGTACAAATTTAGATGCCGGTCGCACCTTGAATACTCTCATGGACAATACCCATAAATTTTCTAATTCAATTATAAAATATCTTATGTACATACATACATATGCACATAAATATTAAAGTTTATTACATTCGTATATTGCATGAGGGTTTTCAAAATTACTGCTGCCCGGTCAGCGTCGAGTCGGTGTGTCTCGAGAGAAAGAATACAAAAACAAAATATGAATCGTCTGCGTGCTGAAACCGTAGGGCAGCGTGGTCGCTGATGTCTTTGGCGCGGCACAGTGGGACTCAGCCGAAATAGTAAAAAAATTGTATGAGTGCTTTAGATAAATTCTAATAGAGAATTTTCCAATCGAATTTTCCCACTGTGCCGCTCCAAAGACATCGGCGATCCGCGACCACCGCTTCGACGGTGCTGAGGCTCGAGAGTCCAGAATTGCCGAACAGACGAAACCGATGGGCAGCGGGGTCGCGGTAGAGACGAAGTACAGGCGAAAAGGGAATTGAAACCCCGCGCGCTCCCTCGTGCCTTTTGGGTTCTAATGTTAGGACCCGCCATAGAACAGCTTTTTGGTCGCTCATGCAACATCTTGGTATTGTATAGTCTTTGGTATTGTATAGTCTTTGATATAAACAAAACGTCGAGAACCGACGGCGTTTGCATAATTTGTATAATTTATAATCAACCTGCTTAAGATAAGGAAATAAATGTGCAATTATATTATTGTAATATTTTATATTTTGTGGTATAAATCAAACAAATAACAGCTTTTATTTTGTTTCCCGCGCCCTAGTGCACCATACCCCCACCCCCTGCCCATTCTTCATTTATTTTGTGGCGGTAGGTCAGTCCATCAAAAGACCCGAAACAAGAACCAAACTCAAATTTCAGTTCTAGCGGCCAGCAATAGTAAACACACACACGCAAAGTACGTGAGAATGCATGTGCACCCATACACTAAAACATGCTGGTGGCAAAACAGATCAGACCTGAGAGAGTTCAAAAAATCTGAAAAAACATACAATCACATACTTTTTGTCGAAACATATTGCGTGTGTACTAACACATGCAAAGATGTTCTCTCTGCGCTCTCTCTCTCATGATGACGTCACTCTGGGGTACGGATAGCGCAAGCCGGTGTGTGACACTTTCGTTGTATGAACTGGCACATCTATATACTGTATGGTTAGTGGTTGTACCACTAACCATACAGTATGGTTAGTGGTTGTACTTTGTACAATTGAAAATTAAATGCGAGGCGTTATCGATACTATCGCATGTATCACATATGTTGCTGGGAACTACATGCATTTTGGCGAGAGTGTGCCTATCGAATGCGTTACCGCTAAGCAGTCTGTTGATTCTTTTAGCGTCAATGGCTTTAAGTTTAGTTTTATTTAGGAACCACGGTTTGGATGATGTTGAGGGGAAAAGCGAGCAGTAACCACGGTGCTTGCTACTAGCAAACTCGGCGTATTCTCTCTCCCATTCTGCTTTTAGGATTCTGTGTATTTCGCACATAGCGTCTTTAAGGTTCCATTTAACAACTGTGTATTTTCCTCGTCTGTGGGCTTCTTTGGCTGCTGCGTCGACTGAAGTGTTCTGAGGGATGTTAGCGTGTCCGGGAATGTAGTGAACCTCTACAGTTCTTAGATGTGGATTTTTTTGGATCTTTTCTCTGATTTTGTAGGCGATAGAGTTATCCTGAATGTTCTTCGCCAGAATGAGGGCCCCGTTTCTGCTGTCTGTCAGGAGCGCGACACGAGGAAAATTGTACAAAATAGCATGGTCCAATGCCTTCTCGATAGCAAGGAGCTCGGCGGACAACGAGGAAAGGGTTTTGTGCGTGTAATAGCTATCTAAAAAACCTGTCCTATCGTGCAGGAAAGCGGCGCTGGAATGCCCATCGGCGACTGACCCATCCGTGTAATAGATTTCAAAACCCCCCTTCGTCAGCTGATCCTTCTTTTCCCCGTGGAGCAGCATGATACCTGCCTGGTCTATAGCGTGCTTGTTGGGTGCAGAGCCCTTGAAAAATTCGAAGTCGGAGCTAATTTTATTGCAAAATGAAGCTGTGTTCTCGAAAACCTCAACTCTGTCTATTATGCTGCCAAACTCCCGATATGCCTTAGCGTAGCCCGTGTTTAAATCCCTATTTGCTGACACTGTTTCACTTGCTGGGAGATTAAATGCAAACACCTTAACCAACTCTTTCGCCGCCAGGAAACTCATCCTGTAGTCCGGGGGAAGTTCTCCTGCCATGTGGTATATGATAGGAACGGGAGTGCAGATTATCAGACCCAGCGACTTTCTGAGGTGATGGTTGCAGTGGGATTTGATTTTGGCCAAGGCAGATTTGGACAGGTTGCAGAATGATGAGCACGCGTACTCTAGCCTACTTCTGACAAATGCCTTGTAAAATATAAGCCCTCTTTTGGGGCTGACACCATAGTGACACCCGCTGAGTAATCTGAGAAACGCACAATTTCTGTTCGATTCCGAGATGGCCAGATCAATGTGACCAGAGGCTGAGTTGTTTGCTGAGATAGTCCTGCCTAGGTATTTGATCTGCTCTACTTGTCTGATTTCAACTCCCTGATGCGAGATATTTAGCGCAGTTCTACGATTGTTGAAGTAAATCACTTTAGACTTCGCCGGATTGAATGACAGGTTTAGCCTATTGCATTTTTCCTCGAACTTATCTATACTGTCTTCCAGCACCCGTTTCGCAATGGATACGTCTTTGTGGAAACAAACTATGAAAAAGTCATCAGCATACTGAAACAGTAAGCAGTTATGACTGTTAATATCATGTAGTTCGGCTGTGTAAAGGTTAAAAAGGGTTGGGCTGAGACAACTACCCTGGCAAACACCTCTGTTCACCTCTACCTCGCTTTTGCCCTTTATGAGGATTCGTTTGTTAAGGAAGCTGGAGATCCAAGCCGTGAGGCTTGTA